TTCCCTACATCAAAGAATCCGATATGGCTGAAGCCTTTTCGGGCATTGTACATAAAACAAAACTTCACACCTGAAAGAATGGAAGGAACAAAAGAATTGGATGAGAACAAAAAACAAGAAAAAGGAAAAGGAAAACAAGGATGAACCTATAAAGACTGATCTAAGTAGCACAAGGCTGATCGTCCTGGCTTGTGATGATGTCAAGCAAAATCAAGACTCCGACAAGTTCTGAGATCTTGTCTTGCATAAACTTGTGTGCGCGAAAATGATCAACAGCCAGCAGCTTTGAGGAAGTTTTCGTAAGGGCTTGAGGCCGGTAACCTAAATGATTGTGGGTTACTTTCCAATTCTGAAGAGCTCTCTGGCTGAACGGTTCCCACACGTGATCTTGAGGATGCTGGGGATGGGATCCCAACCTGCATTTCAGATTAATAGAAAGAAAACCGTTTGGATCAATCTTTAATAAAGCATGTTTTCAGACAAATGGAGATCTTGCGCTATTGGTGTAACATGTCCTGGAAGTGGAAGCTAGGGATGAAGTTTCGATTTTAGTAATCAGATGCCAACCCGAACTGGTTAGAAGATGTCTTAATTCAGCTTCGTCCATACGAGTTTTAAAATGTGTCGTGTTCTGCTCGGTTCGTAAGCAACGGTGACAGCTCATAAGTTAATACAGAAAAAGGTATATGAAAGTACAAAAGAATTTATTGAGATAGCAAAGGCATACCGCCGCATGAAAGCATGAACTGATCTGAGAATGCAAAGTTGTGTGCTCTATCTCCTCATTGTGATTTCGAGGAGAGACGTTTTTAAGGCTCTCTTGTCGTAATTGAGTGCTCAAAAGGCTCGAGAACTTCTGCTGCTTTCCCATTAAAAGCGCCTCACAATGAAATGTCATTTCTTTATATGAAAAGTCGCTTGCCGTATGGACGGAAATTCTACCCACTTGATGAGTTGTGTCTACAACCTGTACGTGAAGAAGGAAATAGACAATTTATATCCATATTATTTTATTTGTTGATAATTTTTTTTATTTTATTTTCTTATCAAAGTGGAAACAGAGGATGGTACATATGACTTACTGATTCCATAAGTTGATTCACACTTAGGAGTTGCGAAATTTCTGTATGTTTTACAGGATTGTTCTTGGCAAGAGTTCCAATTCCATCTCCAAGTTCTTGATCCTCGAGAGAGAAAGGCATCGTGTCCTGAAGACAAAAGTTGAAGTATGTCCATCCCAAGCTTCAAAAGAAAATGATTTGGGAAAGCAGAAGAGATAAAATTTACCTCCTTTTGAGATTTAGCATCACTGGGATCAACTTGGTGAATGCTCTGGGTTTCTCCCAAAAACCGAGTTCCAAGTGGACATGCGTCATCAGGCAAGAATTCACAAAGCAGCTTTTCCCGCATTTTGTCCATTTCAGACTGCAGAAAAAGTTCTCATTTTTGTTTTTACAGTCTGTACCAATACAATCAATTCATTTGGCAAGGGGTTGCTAAGAGGAAAACCTTACATTGCACACGTTATCTAAGCTTTTGACAATTTCAGTGACAAGAATTTCTCTGCTTTGTTCCTTGGAGATGGACAAACTTGAAAGAGCATCTATAGCCGTAGCATCATCTTCTTTGGAACCATAAGCAGTTGTTGGTCGTTGATCTGGTTTAACAGCCTCCAACTTGTGATCCTCAAACAAGCGTAGAAATGGGTCTACCTGAGACAGATGGAAGAGGAGATTAGAGAGAAAAGGCAAATCCTTTCTTTCGATGCAATGCCACAAGATAACATAAGAACAAAAAAAAGGTTTGGAAGGGGACATGTTCCTAACAGAGCTAGGAGGCTCTGGAGCGATATCCAAGGGTCAATAAAGACAGAGCTACAATGACATGCATGAAATTATGCTAAAAGAAACCAACACAACAAATGGCAACATTTTAATCAAAATGTTTAACGTACTCTTTGTGCTTGAAGTGCTGCTTTGGTGAAATCCACCAGAGGAAGGAGATTGAATGCTTTTGAGGAAAAGAGAATCATACAGGTGGCCAGCATAAAGAGTGACCTACGTCGTGATGGAGGAAAAGGACCTGAACAATGTGATTACATGGTTAACAGCTCAAATAATGTGGAACAGAGTTCCTACACG